ATCAACAATAACTATCCCATGTTCTCTCACAGTGATTTGGGCTCGGCAGCTTGTCAGCCCTCAGCCGAAGCTGGGGCCGGTCCCGTAGCCGGAGAGAGCCCGCGCCGATGAGTTCGACGCGGTGGGGGGGCCTGCGGAGAGGCCAGCGAGGTGGCGATCGTCTCATTGCGTCAGGCCCACCGACACCCACCGGAGCGTGGCGGTGGCGCAGGGCCGGCCGCACACCACTACCTCCACCGTCTCCTCCATCGCCTCCAAACCCGCCAGCGCCACCTCCCCCACCACCCGCGCCTGATCCTCCGCCCGCGCCGCCACCTGGTCCGCCGTCGCCGCCGTCGCCCCCGTCGCCGCCGCCAGCGCCGCCGTCGCTGTACTTCATGGCGCCCTCAAAGTGGGGCTGGCTGACTCGCCAGAGGTCGATACTCTAGACGACCCATAAGATGCCACGAATGCCTGAAGGAGAGGGAGGCGAGGCCAGAGGCAGGCTCAGCTGCTCTCGGGTGATCTCACTTTGGTGGCTGAAGGACCCCGATGGTCCTGTCACATTCGCGTTCCGAGTCGTGGGGGTAGAAGAATTCGAGGTAGAATCGAGTCAACACTTCCTTGTAGTACAGCGGACCGCCAGGCTCGCCGGCAGCATCCGCAGGGAGGCAGCATATGAGGCACCAGTCTTCTGGAGAGCTCAACAGCTGCGGCCGCGATGGTAGAGTCGGCCGCGGGGTTCGAGCGAGCAGCTTTTGGCTGCGGGATCGAATCGCGGAAGGCTCATGCCCTCGCGGAGCGACGCGGGTCGCGCGGCGCGCGCGTGTGCGAAATGCGACAACAGACGACAGAAGACAGACGCCTGAGCGCTGTACGACTGAACGACCGTCGCCGCAATCGCCACCGCCGCCATCTTGACGAGCAGCGCGAGCGCGCTCGTCGGCGGCCAGCCGTCGCGGGCCGGGCCGAGCCCGGCCTCGACCGGCCGCGCCGCCGCAGCAGGCCGGGATCTTCTTGATCTCCATGGCGGCGGTGGCGGGCGACGCCGAAAACATCAACAAGCAGGCGCGCAAGATGCGCACCAACTGGACCAAGAACAAGCATGCGGCAAACGGCCTTTTGTCCTCGGCCCCAGTGGGGGGTGCCCGCGCCGCCTACCTAGCTCTGGCCTCTGCGGACGGGCCCCTCCACCCTTCACGTACGGATCATGTAGTCCCCCACACTCCGACACTCGCTGTCGTGGGATCGCTTGTCATGTGAGAGAGCGCAGAACAAGAAAGAAAACAGACAGCCCAATCGTGAGAGAGCGCGTTGTGTTCTTGTTTGCTCTCCGCTTTCTCTTTTCACCACGGAGTGCATTGCCGTTCTTAACGGA